CTTTGCAAGTTGAATTGAAAGCAATTTAATTTCGGCAAAATGGCTGCTTTCATTGTATACAGGACACCGAACCTCTTGTGTAGGACCTTTTCACCATGTTGTGATTGATTTTACATCTATTGAAAACAAGTCTGGTCTCTGCCATTTGTTTACCCTTGTATTCTCTCTTTATGCTTTGGTATGCATTTTTAATTAGATACACTCCAGTTCTTTCACCACTAGCTAACACTTTTATTTGGGAAGCAGTCTTTACTAGCCCTGCAAATATCCGCTGTTCTTTGCAATGTCAAGTCCTTTTCTCACCTTGCTTTGACTTGGTTATCACTTATATCACAAGTAATTCATCCATCTGTTAACTGCTCCAATTCACATTACTTGGCTTTATTTTAAAGATCTTAACAATGGTCAATGGTCTCATCTGGCAGCTGGTTTCTTGTAAAAAATGTGCCTTTCCCAAGTGACATTCTTGTGAGGATCAAAATATTCACTGAATGGGTTTTTATCTAGCAGTTTACAGGTCCCTCAGGCTCTCCATAGAACATATTGTATATACCCAGTGCTTTGGGCATGCCATGTGTAGCAATGTGGAGGACTTCACCTTCTCCAATTTTATTTCACTCTTTTCCAGCTTTCCACCATGTTGTCTTTACACATTGTTGGTTCATTCTTGTAAAAAAAAAAAAAAAAAAAGATACATATCATGCAACTAACTACATGATTGTTGAAGTTTGCATCCAGAGTGTGCCTTTAAAGCAAAACTCTCAAAGCAGTTTGGTGCTTTGGTTTGTCCCGTGAAGCAAACCAAAGTTTGGGAATTCTGGAAGTAGGTTCTCTCACTGTAAAATGGCAGAGCAGAAACACGCTTCATATGATTTGGTTACAAATGGGCATTCACCCACGGGACACATGTACAGCTATCCAAACTGGAAAATGATAATAGAAATGTATCATGCCTATTTAGCCCCACACATTTACTCCTTCTAGTCTGTACTATTCCCTAACACAGACAGAACCACAGAAATAAGTGAAATTGTCTTTGTTGGTTGGCTCTCAATACCTGAAATTGGTGAAAAGCATTATACAATACCACAGCACTTCTATATAAGTAATGTTTCAGCACAATCAGAAATATCTTAAGTACTAAAGGAAGTATAAAATTAATTTTTATCATGTCACAAATAAGGGGAAACTCTCCCACTGAATAAAGGGGAAAAAAAAATAAGGTGTAGTATTCTTCCATCCCACAGCAATCCAGAAAAAAACCACAGTATGTCCACTTTACATACTACCTTTCTCTTAATTTACAGTTTTCAATTTACAGTCTTCTACACAGTTATTTAAATAAACTGTCTCTCACAGAGTAGCACCTTTGCAATTGCCAGGGACACAAACCCACTTCTCTGTTTCCTCATAAAAATTTTCCATAGACACCCCCAACACAAGCATTTCCAGCAAGACTGATTTTTTACTTGGCCTTATCTTCTCCAGATGGTTTGTAGATAGTTCTCACAACTCAGCCATCACTTTAAATAGACTTAAAAAGACAAAAGTCCAGTTTCCTTTAGGACTGTGTGTGAAACTTGTGGCTGGTGAAATTTCCAATATAAACAAGATCTTTTGGCACCAACTGGAGGGGGGCTGGGTCTGTGTTTATGGCTTGCTGCAAGGAATGTTCGTTTTCTTAATATCCTCTCCCTTCTTAAATGGGATGGATTATATCCAAATACATTGTTACCATTCTTCTCACTCAAACTGACTTTATACTTGTCATACTTTAATGGGCAGGTCTGTAATCTGAAAGAGATGCAAATAGTTTTGTTTGCAGGTTTTCAATAATCATATGTTTCATGATTAATGAAGCCTCTTTCAAGCCTCTAACAGCCTTCTGCAGCTGATTGTAGAATTGTTGAGGAGTCTAAAAAAAGTAATCTCACTCATATACTATCTTTAACTAATCCTGTTAAATTTTATTCATTGTTTGTGACAAGCCTTGCTATTACTCTGCATGCAGCAAGGAGTTGATCAAGCATTGTACAAGCTGTTGGGGATGTCACAGAGGTCACCATCAGCACTTCTAACGGAGTGAGTGCTTGCCAAGGATAACAGAAGAAACCATTTCCCCATTTACAGGTTTGCCAAGACAGAGTTCCAGTCCCTTCCCATGGTGAAAGGCTGCAGTTTAAAACACTTCCTTAATTCCACTTAATTCCTTCATTACTTTTTCAGTGTATAACTACCAAACATAACTCTAAATCAATCAATCAATCAATCAAATAGTGTGATTCTGGCTTTATTACCCTCTCACAAAGATGATGTCAGCTCTTGTGCTCCTTGATGTATATTCATTCCCCATGCTCTGTTCTACATGTTTAAACATAGAAAACAAAAATATCCACAACTCCAATGTTTTCTTCAACCCACAGTGTTATTGGGCATTCTAACACCAGGCTTTCTGAAACAGTATCTTCTGTTGGGTTTGTTTGGGGTTTTTGGTGTTGATGATTTTTTTTTTTTTTTAATATTATAACTCAGTCCTGGAGAATTCCTCCTGTCCTAACACAAACAGCACTCTCTACATATACGATTTGCCAGAAAATTGTGTCCAATCTCTCAGTGCACTCTTCATGTTCTACGTGCCATTTGTACATTTGCCACTTAGCCATGTAAAATGGAATTATTTAATTACAGAGTTTCAGCAATATTGCTGCTTTAATCCAGTCACAAACAGACTTGAAGGGAAAATTATATGCCAGGAGTTAGAAAAAAAAAGATGTGATCTGTTAGCAAGTCTGACTCTGTTGATCACTTCATTACAAACAAGGATAAGTTGGTATGAAAAATGTGAGGGTCCAATCAAAGCTAGTATTTACCACTTACGAGGGCCATCCAGGTAATAAAAAAGGTAATAAAAAAGAGAACAAACCTTGAACATTTTCTTGCACTGCATTACTGCAAATCAATAAATAAAATCTATAGATTAACACTGGTTAGACCAAAACAATGAGGGATTTGGAAGCATGCAAGAGAATGCCCTTCAGATTAAATGACAATTTGGAAGTGTTTAACAACATATGGTCTCTTCTCTTTGACATATACGATTAAGAATATATCTTTTTTATATAAAAATATAAAATACCATCTGTCATAAGTTCCAACCATGATACTGTCTCTTTATATCCAATTAATTCACTATACTTCCTAGTGTAAATATTTCTCCTATTTTCTCATTTTTTCATTTTCTGTAACTATATTTATTTATAAAATTTCAATAAATGTATATATTTAAAAAGTCAATAGTATGACTTGAAATGTAATTAGGAATAACAATGAAAGTCTGTTTCACTTTGTATTCACTCGTATTTCAAAGAAGGGCCAAATCTTCAAATGGTTTGAAATGCCATTGCTCATTTAAATCAGTGGGTATAGGCATATTACAAAGATTTTACTATGTTGTTTTTCCTTATTATACACATTAACCCAGATAAATGATCACTTTTCACAAAAAAATATTTGTGTTTCCTTCTTTTTTCAGAAATACAGGGTACCTTAAAGACACATGACTGCAGAGTGAGAGCCCTAATATAATGGGTATTTTTCCTTAAGGTGTCAGAATTCCAGTGGACATGGAGAAATAAATGGATTACTCTCAAAATCATGGTACAGACCAGCAACGTAATGCATTTCCATCCACTGAATTAATATTTTACCTCATTAATTTAATCCAAAATAAAAATCTTTGACCACATAATTAATATAATGACTTCTGAGAACACTAAGACATGCACAAGTCTCAAAATACAGTCTCAAGATTACAGGAGCTAAGTTTTACCAGGTTATAACAGGAAGGACTGCAACAGCCTGTTTGAAGAAGGGTGTAAGATTTCTTCTGTTAGAAACAAACATACCCAGATAAACATATACACACAGACAGAGACACACAGGTTTTACTCTTTGTTTCTCAGTAATTTGGCCGTGGGTGCATCAGTAAGTTACACTAATAGGTTTTGCATTAGTAGCTTGAGAAAGAAATTACTGGCCCACAATTTAAACCACATTTTAAACCTTTAGCTTTTTAAGAATCTTTTGGAAATGTTAACTCTTGAAATTCCCTCAGCCTAGCAAAGATCTGAAAACAAAATGGAAAATTATTTTGCTTTTCAAAAATGTTGCCCCTCTTATAAAGCAGAATACCATATAATGGTAATTCCCTTTCTCTTTCTTTGGATTAATTTTATACTTCATGATATAAAAAACTAAGACTTCTGTGTCTGCTGAAATGCTGTGGAAGTGGTGACCATATCTGCCTGAGATTATTCTCATGTAATTTACAACTTAGTACCTTTTTACCTGCTTCCATGTAGTTGATCTGTGAAAGAGAAAATGCTGAACATCTTCTAATACTCAATCTCAGTCTTTAAAGGAGCTTTCAAATAAACCTTGAGGCTCATCTTGTTCATTCATGGCAGAAACTCTATACAGAGTCCTTAATAAATTGCTTGTAAAGGTTCTTAAATTGCCCCAATACTTTCTAAAATACTTGCAGTATTTCAGTAACTACATATAAATCAACTTCTAAAAATTTTCATTGTGTAAGCCATAATAAGTTCGTAAGGGGCACTGACATCCACATCTTGCTCACATGCTGTCTGGCAATGTACCCCCTTGGCCTTTGTGATTTCCTCTTTTAATTTACAACAGAGTTTTTGCTCCGAAGTTAACATAAGGGTAATAGAAATTCCAAGTCACTTCTCTGTTTGCATCAGGAAAGTATGCATTATTCAACAGCATGCACACTTTTATCTGATTATCTCCCTATTATCTTTGGCCAAAATTCTTATGCTTTTCCATTTCTTCTTGTGCTGGTTTTATATATATATGTGGTCACTCTCATTTCTCTTCTCTAAATCCTCGTATTTTCTGTAACACTGTTTTTGAGAGGAGTGCATGTGATATTGTTCCTATTACAGTAATCATTTTTTTATTAATTTGATAACTCATTTGTTGGTTCTCCTGCCATGCCATCGTGTCGTTCTTTCGGCACTGGTGGCATCCGGCTGCCAGGGGACCAAGTTAATCTCCAGCACTCTATTGCAGGGCAGTTCATGGCGCCTCACTTCGGCCCGCTCCCCTGGGAGGCCGCTCCCCTCCGCCGCTCTCCACTCTCAGAAGCTCCGCCCCCCGGCCGGGGGCCGGAAGCCGCTGCCGGGTGCCCTGTGAACCGGGAAGGGCTCGGTTTGAATGAGATCCGGCTGATTCACCGCGGCCCGGGAGGCTCCGGCCCAGGTGAGGGCCCGGCCGTCTCCGCGCCGGGGAGCTGAGGGGCCCCGCGGCGGCAGCGGGAACGCGGCCTGGGGAATTTCTGCCCGGCGNCACAGGGCCCGGCCTCCTCCGCCCGGCCCGCAGCGGCCGCCCTGGTTCGTGCTGCGGGCAGCACCAGCGCTCTGTGCCCTGTCAGAGGCACCTCACGGACGGCAGCGCTGCTGCTCCGGGAGTGCGGCATTGCCGCGATCCCTGGCAGTGCAGCTGAAGTTAGAGGGGCGCGGGGGGAAGTGAAGGCAGAGCACTGGCTGGGATACCTGGAGGGGAAGGAAGTAGAATTAAGTAGAAAAGGAGCGATAATCAAAAATTAATTGTGCTGTTTGAAGTATGCAGTTGACTTAAGTAATGTTTCTGTAACAAATTTGTGTCATGTAGTTGGATACTTGTAAACAATGTGCTGGCGTCATGTCTTTAAAGTTGCAGTTGTTTTCAGTGTGCTGTGGAAAAACAGAAAACGGGGATTGAGGTTGACTTTTTATAAAGAACTTTCATGTAAATGTATTTCAAAGCTATATATAAGTGAAATGGTACTAGGCAAGCTGAAAAGCCTGACAGATTTGTGTTTATCTTAAAGCTGTCAGCCCTGGGAGTCAACGGTGTCCCCTATGCCTCAGGTAGGGAGTAAACTTAGAAGAAGATTCTGTGGACCAGAGTATTCACTGGTTGTGACCTTATTGAGACAGTCAAAAATACCTGGTTTTGAAGAAATTCAGAAATTTGCTTGCCTATGAATTGCTTCTCAATCACTCAGAGTGACTTTGAGCAACAGGATTTAGCCTGTAGCTTAATGGGAAAGGTTGTGTTCCATCATCTGTTGTAACATGCCATTTCAGTGATATTCATTTGAAAACCATGATTTAGAACATTATAAGTTAGAGAATACTTTAAAAACAATATTAAGTAATACCAGTATATAAACTAGTTTGTCAACTTTCTTGGAAATTATTCACTCCTAACAAGAATTATGGAGTGCAAATTAATAATACCTGCAATTACCTTGTAACATCTAGGATGATGGGAAAGGGCAAGTGTTAAGGACACCTTTAATAACAGAGAACTGGTATGATGAGTACTTGCTGGACTACTGCAATAGCTCCACAACCGTCTCTGCTTGCCTCTCTGCAGATTTTGGAGAAGGCCATTACTTCTATAATACAAAAAATTCATATGATTTCTGTCTGTTTCTGTGGTGGTGCAGCTTGTAAATGAATCTCTGCTTATCTGGAAATTTTGTATGAATGTACTTCAGTAGCTTTAAAGCAGTCTGTTAGAATCTCTGTTACTGAAGTAACTCCAGCTCAGCAATAAATGTAGTAGAATTAGGTTTGCTGCACTTCTGTAAGTCAGAAAGCTGAGTCTGGGAAGCTGACCTGCAAACCACCTAGTCCAGCTCGGGTCTATTGAGATTCAGGTCTATGTGATCCAGAAACAGGGTCTGTATTTACAGAACTGATCATGTTATGGAAGCAAGAGTAATGTAACTCTGGACTTGCACTACTGAGACTCCATTCATGCATGACATGATTAAACTCTAGCTTTAATTAACAAATTACTTAGTATTGATGGTAATATGTACATTTTTTTCTTCTTTTCATACAAAACATATAGGAAGATAGACAGACTAGCCCCCTGCCTTGCCCCCCACATTTTCATATGTGAAGTCTCTGTTCAGGTTTGATGACTTTAACTGCAGTGATATTTTTTTCTTGGTGAAATAATGTTTTTCTGCAATACACAGTTTTTCAGCTGATTTATCTCTGTTGCTGTTTATCATCCCTAGTGAAGCTGAAATGGTTGCAGTTGCACCAAAAACCTTGAGCCATTTTTGAACACTGTTAATAAAATTGTTGATCATCTGCTGCATGTAACTCCTCAACAGGAGATCTGGAAGTGCTGGTACAAAGCTTGTTATATAGTCTCAGGTGGAGAAACTGAGTTACGGAAGATGAAATGATTTGCATCAAGTCACTCAGTGTACAAATTGCAAAGTAAATTGCTGTCACCTGTGTGTAGCCTGATATTCTCTCCACTAATAGTGCAGTTTAGTAGCCATTGTTTTCTATGTATGTCAAAGCTGATTTTGATATTTATTTCTCTACTAGCTCAAAAGTTGCCAAACCAGGAGAACCCTCTTTCATTGAGGGATCACATTGTGGAGTGTTAATGCTAGATAAAAATAGTGCACTGTAGTGTGAAATTCATGTGTCTCATGCAAGGAGATGGAGTAATTTAAGACTGTTTCCAGTTGATTTCAAAATACATGCTGAAACATGCCAAGTATAAACACAGTAGCTATTGGTTTATACCTATATGTGTATACACATTTGTGCATAATCCTTTTATATAACTTCATCCCTATGCTACTTAAGAAAAAATGTTTTCATTATTGAAAGTCCAAATTTAAGTGACCTGAAAATACAAATGAACAACTGACTGGTGAACTAGAACTCCCCAAATGGGCAACTCATTCCAATTATAACAGCTGCCTAAATGTATTAGGAGCAAATATTAGACATGGATTTTAAAATTTCTGTTTTCAGATCAATTTTGAGATGCTCTGTATATGCTCTCACTGCATTAATAATATCAACTATTTTTTCCCTCTTGAGGGAAGAACAGTTAAAAGAAAATTGCGGTAATGCAAGTTTGGATTTTTAAATGACATCCTGTGACCAAGCTTATTTTAGTCATGGTGTTTCCAATCATGGACATACATATGCAGAGAAGCTATTCAATTCTTTTAAGCCATTAATGACCATATTGATTTCAGTGATGAGTGCACGTTATCCAAATCCTGCAGTGCACCAAAATGCAAGTTTATTATGATAACTGTCCTCCTGTATTTTTTCTGATATGGAAATATTTGATACATTTGCTTCCTTAAAGTTTTGCTTTAAACAGAGACTGTTAACTTTCCCTTGCAGACAGAAGGAAACAATCAAAATACCTGTTGCCAGCTTTGGAAGGAAAGGAGGTGAGATTTACTGTGAACTGTTTGTTTACTTTTCTGGCTTTTATTTATATGTATATATAATGAAACTATATGAGTGTGTGCAAATATAGGGAAAAAGCCAACAGAGAAGTTGCTAACCAACCCAGCTTTTTGCACGTTGTAGCAGAAGTGAGATTCTCAGCTGTAGGCTACCCTGTGTGCCTCCCTGGGGAACAGACCAAGCTCACAGAGTTTTGTTTCTTTCATATCTTTGTAGTAAATGGGGAAGAAAGTGCAAGACCACTGGGAGGTCAGGTGGCTAAAGGTGAATAACAGAAGCCCAGGTGAAGAAGTGGCTGCAGTTCTATTGTAGCCTGTGCTACTGACTCTTGTGGTCTCTCCTGGCTCATTTCCTTCTGCAAAGCTGGCAGAAGGCTAGTAACTGTCCATTCAACTTGTTAGTGATTTCCAGCCTGTCAGCACTGAGAAACTCTGACTTGTTCTTTCTCTTCTGACTTTCTGGGAAGGTGAACACGTCTTCTTTGCTCTTCTACTACTTTGAGATAAGCTTCAAAAGGGTCTCTGTTAAATTGCCTCAGTTACCAAAAAACAAAACAACCCCCCCCCACGCAAACAAAAACCCAAAACCCAGAGACATTCTTTGAGCAGCTTAAGCTTAAAGAATGATTTGACAGAAATGTCTTCCATAGCCTGTATTAGTGTTACAAGCAATCAGCTTTTCCAAGACCTCTTTTTCTGTTATGCCAAGACAACTATTTCTGGGATGCAGCTTGAAGCCTCTCAGAGAAGTGAACAGGGTTAAACCCAGCATTTTTGATAGCCTCTCAGTTTGCTGCAGGGCTGCACAAATGGCTGTCCTGGCAGTACTGAGAAAGCAGCATCAAGTTGGTGAGCAGCAGCAGCTTCCTCATTGCTCCTTATGTTAACACTGACATTGAAAAAAACGTCTATCAAATCACAGCCACAGATCATTTCACAGATCTGTTTTAAAACACTGCTCTACAAATGATTGAGCGGATGCAATTAATGGGCAGTGTTCTCAGGGAGGAGGATAACATGAATCTTAGCTCCTAAATTGAATGTGAAGCAGCCTTTGTCTACCTGAAGTCAGGCAAACCTAAAGATCTTTTTGGCTTTTCTGGTCACACCAACCACTCTTGCAGAAATAAACAGGAGAGCTTTCTGTACCTGCAGACTGCTCTTACCCTTGGTACTTAGGGCATCTTGACTACAGCAAAAGCTTCTAAAATACTAAAAAAAGACCATGGTTTCAGTTTCTAACAGCATTTAAAATAATCAAATGGTTTTAAATTGCTTAAATGAATTATTAAAATATTTTTATATGTAATTTTGAAAAAATTGGAAGCTTCTTGCAGTATTATGGATACTTGAGCAAGACATGGCTTGTACCACTTCAAGGAATTGTATGGTAAAAGGAAAAAAAAAGCCCAGTAAACATTCTTGAGGTTATTCTTCAATGGTGCCTTGTCCTTTTGCAGTTTATCAATGTAATATTTTCTTTCACGTGTGCCACAGTTTCTAAATTTTACTGGGTTTCTGCCTTTCTCCTTTCTATTTCCTTCAACAGGAAAGAGACCTACTGGTGTCATCTTTACAGTCAAAAAGTGGGAGCTGCTGCCGAGTTTGTTCTGTGAGCATCTCTTGCTGAACACCAGGTTAGAAATGTCTAGTTGCTTTATTTGTAAAGGCTAAAGTTAGCTTCACTAATGTCTAAAAATTTTGCTTAATCTGTTTTAAGGTTTACAAAAGCATTGTTTGAGGGATGGAGTTTATGGCTGAAATAATATTTAGACTGATTAACAAAAATTAAAATTTTTTTGGTGAATGTGATTCAGTAACCTAAATTTTTCAGATGTTTATACATCTCAATAAACAAATCTGTTTAGGTCCACATAGACTTTAGCCTACTAAAACATATTCAGTTACAAATAGGCAAGTAAAGCATTAGTTGCTAAAACTCTAACCAGAATCATGGAAGCTAGTGAAATAATTTGCAGTGCATCTAGAACTGGGTTTTAGGGATTTTCTGTCTGTGCTGCTGTCTTGAAAATTTGAATATCTCAGTTCAGTGACTAGTCTGTGGGAAATGTTAGGTGGGAAATGTTACATCACTCTGGTTCTATAAGAGTAAGATTTTGTTGTAAAGTTATGCTGATAAATAATCAGTTTATTTAACACATTAGTCTGTTCCAACCTTAATATGGCAAAATATATGGCTTTTATAGAAACTGGAATAAACTGTGTAAATAAAATATTAATTAATTAGTACAAGCTATTGCTTTTCACTTGTGTTACAGAATTTGTTCATACTTTATAATTTCTTAAATGTACACAGGTAATGTACCCCATGAGTTTATGGAAGTTGCTGTAGCTGTCAGAACGACCACTTTTAGGGTTACTAGTTGTAGAGACTAAAAGTTTCTTAAAATAAAAGAACTACCATGATGGTTAAAATAATAGTTTTAGTAGTTTAAATATACTTCTCAGTTACTCTTCAGCCCTCTTTAGTGTCACGGAAGATGAATCATCGTGGGTTTCAATGGAGGAGTATCTACCACAGAGGGGTAAAATGAACTGTAGTTGGCGGTAATTTGTGGTAACATTGTGACTGTTTTATTGAAGCCATTTAACATATGCTTACATAATATCTTTAAACAGCAACTTAACCTTTCCAAGGAAATCCTCCAACTTGATGTGGAATTTATTGTAGTTCAGTATAGAAAAGCACATACACTGTGTGCAGCTTTTGCCTCTAAAAAAGAAGCTTGGTTTCAATGGCTTACTGAAAAAGTGAAGCATAACCACTCACCCTTTAATAAACTCATTTTTAATTTATACGGTGCTAGGGGAGCTTTAAGAAAGTACTTACTGCTAGATGAGGATGCACTTGTTGGATTTGCAGGTTCTACAAAATCAAGAGAGTGAATCATATCAAACTAATAGCCTGATAGTTCATTGAACTGGGAAAGTGAACTTAGCAAGTAGAGCAGGTATTTCTGATCAATGTATCTTGGATATGGATAGGAACTTACTAAAGGAGGAAGTAAAATGCTGCTTCTTTGTGTGTTTAGAAGCTTAAAGTATTTGTTTTAAACTTATTCTGAAATAAAGCTTGTTAGTCTTTATCCTTTAAAAATTCTAGCAAATATCAGAAGAAATTATGAAAATTATGGTGACGTTCACCTTCAGCATGAAGGTTTTTTCATATACAAAGCAAATATATTTTTCAAGTTCTTTTGTAAAATTACTAAGAAGGGTATTGAATTAGTATTGTTAATGTAATCTGAAATCATGTGTATAATTCTCTTATGTCTAATGTAGCATCCTCTTGGAGGATGAATGTATTTTGAAAATCATATTTTGTGTTCTTAATTGCTTTCATATCAGCTAAACAGGCTTCATTGTGTTGTATTAAAACTTGTCCGATTAAGACCATAATTTTCAATGCTGTACTTTTTAATCTTCTATTTCACAAATAAAATAAAATAAAATTTTCTGATTTCTGTAAGCCTTGGAAATTGCTTGATTTGCTAAAAACAGCTGTTTAAAAATTGATATCCAGTAGGCTTTTTTTTTTTCATTTTATCCGTAAGTTTTGTTGTACAGAGCTAAGAAGTTGAAAAAGCCATGGTAAAGTTCTGTTAAAGCTGGGGGAGAACCTCTGCTTAGGTATCCACCATGAAATTGTAGATGTCTTTTCAACAACAGAAAATGAAGAAACTGTAGAGAAAGAAAGAGCAGTGTAATTTTTTTGGTTGGGCACCTTAACAGCCTTTATTCCTGGGGATCACTCCTTTGAAAGTTACAAGACACAAAAACGGATGCTTTTTTTTTTTTTAAGCTGTTTCATTGATTGGAATAATCTTGCACTAAAGCAATGGCACATGCAACACTGGGAATGTATTAAATGACTGCACTGTCACTATTCTTCCAACTATATACACATTAAATGTTTACTTTACAGTATTTCTTTTAGTATAATGAGTTCATTAAAAAAAGCTTTTGATGCTAATTCAGAGATCCATAATCTGCTTAGTGTCTTTCACATGTAGTTTTGATGATAACTGACAAGCTGTAAGTTAATTAGCGCGGAACTTACTAATGAGGATGCTAAAATCCTTACTTTAAGATTTTTATTGATGATTTCTGAGCAAACTAAAGTAAATTTGATTGTATATCTAATAAGTTTTAGGAACTTTCTGGCTGTAGGTACTGATCATAAGCAACAAAAATCCCGCAATTAATTGAATGATGGGAAAGTTTTGAGAAGTTTGACAAGAGTGTTCATCTTCAGAAATGGGGATAACCCAAAACCAAAGCAATAAAACAAAGTCTGTTAATTAGCATGGAAGACAGCTTCTTGAATTAATATGTGGTGTTAATTAACAGGAAGTCTGATGTTGTGTTGTAATTACCACCAATATTTTTGACATACTGAGTGACTGAAGGTGAATTATATAGATAACAATTTAGTAAACATTTCAAGCTTGGGAACATTTTTCCTTTGTTTCTGTTTTTCTAGAAATATGGATAGACTTCTGCGACTGGGAGGAGGTATGCCTGGGCTGGGACAGGTTAGTATATAGCTTGTCAATCTTTTATTTAAAATTAATAAATTCTGGAGTATTCCTTTTATTATTATACTATATATATTTTAAAAAAGCATAAAAAACAGAGTTCATAGTAATAATCTTTGACTCAAGAGATTTGATATGTGTATGCAAATCTTTGTTACAACCTGACTTTTTTTGTAAATATGAATACCTGTGTTAGCATTAAGTTTACAGAATGTTTACAAACCTTTTTGTGTCTGAGCATTCCAAAATTTGTATCGAAAAGCATTGGAAGCACATGGTATATTTTTTTAATTAACAGTTCCCAACAATTCCCAATAATACGGAATTTCAGAACATGAGGGGTATTCTAAATGGCCAAGCATATCTACTGCTTTTTCATAAATTATATATTTCAGTTCTTGGATCACATTGTGAATGGGGCATTATAATATACTGACTATATGTAAATTTCAAGAGGTAATTTGAATTGAATTTATCACTTATGTGTAGTTGTAGCTACCTGTATGAGTATTTTTTTGTGTCTCTTCTTGTTGATTGTCCTCACTTCCATTACTCACAGCAAAAAGGCCTCCCTGGCAGCTGTCCTATTCCAGTGAGAGACCTATTCACATTGTGTGGCTTTTCCTACCTTTACAGCAAGTCCTAGTGTTTTTTTCTTTTGATCAACTGGCATGGCCAGCAGTCTTCAGAAATAATATCAAGCTGATCATGTTACGTTGTGCTGATTGCAGGGATACAGGGGGAAAAATAATTAGGAACTTTTTTTGTTTGCGGTGTGCAGGAAGAATTATTTCCTTGAGGAATGGGCTCCAGTGTAATTTCCTTTGTGGTCCTTTCCTTTGTTTGGCTGCTGTAGCTGGCCTTTCTCTGTTCTCTCATCTGCCTCACGGTCTCTTTCTAAATCAAGAATCCGGACTCTTGTTCTTCTGGAGGAATCAGTTCTGTATGTCTTGGGCTTTAGGATGTGTGTGCAGGGTTTCTTCTGGGATGGTTGAAATTGCTAAACCAAAAGTTTCTTTGGTTGTGTATAGTGTGTTTGTGTCCAGTTTAACTACAGGAGTAGTTTAATACAGAAGCATTTGGTGAAATATTCTAGGCTGATCTACAGACTCTAGATGTTTTGCCAAATAAGCTGTAACTTTTGGTGCATAATTTTTTTTCCCCTTTTTATAGCTAAAATTCTATTCACGTTTTCTTAGTGAATCTTCAAGCCGCCCTCAGTTATTTTTAGTTTCACTTTCTTAAACAGTTACTTCTCTTGTTCCTCTGAGCTGCCAGCCTGCTTCATGACTCTTCATTTTTTTAACATCTGTGCAGTCTAATCTCTCAAGCTTTCACTTCTTAGTCCTCTCTGAACTTGACGCATATCAAAGCTGTTTTTCAAATTTACAGTTAACTCTCTGCTGTTTTCTGAATTTTTCATCTTTAACTTAAAGCTTGCTAAAAAATTGTGGCAGACAATAAAACATAACATTCAGAGGAAGCTCACTGAACTCCTTTGGTAGCTTTGGCCTGCAAAGCTGTTCAGTGTTTGTTTAAATATGGAATTGTCTTTTAAATGAGTTGATGAGTATGTGTTGGATAAAAGAAAGGCATAAAACAGAATTGCTCTTTACTCTAAGTTGCTGCTTGCACTGGATGTCTTGACTACATTTGTAGTCTTTTGGTTTATTGAATCAGCAGGAAGGCTTTTCAAATAGAATATTTTTATGTCCTTAAAATACTGTGTTTCGAAGGACCTTAAAAGGTCACTTATATTGTGAATATCAATTGATGGTAATTGAGATTGAAAGATAATCCAGAGTGAATCAGACCTCTTCGAAACAGAAGAGAAGAGGAAGGTATTTCTTGGATAAATTTTGTAATGCTAGAAAGCAAAATTATTGTCGTTTGTTTGCACTAGAGTGTTTTAAAGAGCAGTGCAAAGCTTTTTGTTCTTATTGCTGTGTCACAGTTGTTCTAAAGGTTGAACATAGTAAAAATGTCTGACTGAGTCATTCTTGCCAGCATAAGAATCATCTGTGTATGGTCTGGTAGAAAAAGAGGCATTTTCAAAGTAATTTAATTACATAGTTTGGAGATTTCTTTTTCTTGTAGCTTGGGGTCTCCTTAGCAAGAGGACTGCATCACATAAAGTTTGCTAAGAGTGTGTTTGATTTGCTTTGTTGCTGCTTAAGTACCAGCAGATCTTGGTCAGCACAGTTCCTGTTTGATCTCTGCCAAAGGATTCTTTCTCAGCGACTTGCTTTAGGTTCTTCAGCAGCAGTTACTTGGCTTTTTCCCCTTGGCAAAACTACCTCTTCTGATTATTGTCTCATTTAGGTTTTTTTAGTCTTCTAAATTTCCAAATTCAGATATGTTGCCCCAAATGCACTTTAAATTCATGTGTTTTCAATATACTTTTCAGGTCTTTTGGTGTAGTGTATTACACTTGAGAAATGCTGTCACTCAATTTTTGGTTCTTTCCTTACTTCTTGTTCCTTACGGATGCTATTGAGTGGCTGATTTGCCTTCAGGTGTCCAGAGGTAGTCAGTGCTAAATCCCATCTACACTAAGCCTGTCTTCAAATGTCTATTAAACAAATCTTTAAGGAAGTAATCTTAAACTGATACTTCAACAATGAATTTTCCTTCCAGTGACATGTGGCTTAGAAATCTTGAGGCATTTAATTCCTTTTAATCATAGGTGGACAAAGGGCTGACTTAGTAGGGCAGGAGGTGGACAAGAGAGTAGAAGGGAAGAGAATCTTACAACTTTTGGCATCACATAAGCCATTCACAGTATTTTCTGACAGCGCACTTGGTCATTAACTGTGTGTTCTTTTTATGGTAAGGCACCTATGTTTAGTTTTGAACTTGATGCCAGAAGTATGACCTCCTTTGGAACACTGCTTCATGCTGAAATTGTTTGTGTCTTACATGGCTGGTGTTGTAGACCTGGTCCATAAGTTTGTTTTGTCTTGAATTTATGTTTTCATGAATGAATGCAGCCTTTTAGAAAAGAAATAAAAGATTGAAAGTATTGTCATGTCTCAAAGAAAATCTTATTACTGTAATTTCCCTCCTCTAGTTCATGGGAATTAAGATTTTGACAATGCCCTTGTTCTTCTTCACTTATATGGCCCCCTTTCTCTCTCTTTCTGCCCCTTGTCATGTTGGGTTTTTCTACTTATCTTCTCTTTCCTGATTCATTCTTTTCTGTCTGTCCCTGTTTGTCCCTCTCATACTGCCTACCACAGAATTTCACTAGTAGTTTAGTACTTTGATTTGCATTGTACATTTGCTGCAGACAAATGAACAGGTTTGTGGGGTACGTGAAAGCATTCTGCTTATGTAGCAGGCAGGAATTTGGAGCAACACTCCTCTTCATTTTGTATGCTGAACTATTGTTTGCTGGTGAAATCAGTTCCACATATGCCTCTATTAGGCAATCCCACTGCAAAGGGTGTGAGCAAATTAAGTGCATTTGTAGCCAAGCTTTCTCCTCCCATCACTTCCAGAACAATAATTCAAGTTAAGCAAGTTCTTGTCCATGCTAGCACATGCTGTTTGTTTTTCTGAATCCAGATGTGTTAGGAAGCAGTGAAATAATGACACTTTTTAAAAAGAGGGTTTTAAATTAACTTTTCATTGCTTGGTAGATTTTTGAATCTGTTAGTGCGGACAACTGTTCTAGTACAATAAATGAAAAACAAAACTGATTCTGTATTTTTGAATTAACATATTTGATGACAGAGGGTGAGGGGAAAAATTCCAATGGGAAGGGTGGGGGAGATAGAGAGCTGACCTGTGTCTTATAAGGAGTGTTTACACCTTGACTTGGAATATAGAAAAAGAAGTGCAGATAGCTATTTTATTTGAATCATGGACTTGCCAATTAGCCATCAAGTGCTTCCATCTGTGAAATAGTTGATCAGATGGGTTAGCTGGGATGTTTCCAGATTAGGGCATTGTAAATGGCACTTGAAAACTGTCACTTTGATAAGGAGGTTTCAAATATTGCACTGCTTGGTGCTGTGGAACCTTTTTCCCCTCATAGGATCTTGGGTTTTTTAGAACACACTTATCCTATTTAGCAAATCTGTGGCACATGGGAACTTGGGAGACCTTCTGCTGATCTAAAGTTCTGCTTCATGTGCTAATCTAGTTGGGGTGGTTGTTGGAGGACAGCACAGTGCTGTCCCACACTTTTTTGTGGGGTTTCCAAAGAGGACTTGATGGTCTGGCAGACAGAGGAGGGTCAGGCTCTGTGTAGATCATTCCCAATTAACAATTAGATGCAAATTTCCTTGACTTACTTCATTAAGCTGATGTGTCATTTGAAGTACATGACTTTTTCTTGCATCTTACATCTTCCATATGTAAACAAAAACATCCATCAATAATAAAAAAACCTCAAACCCAAAACAAACTTGGACACCACCATCCCTCCTCCCCAAAAATAACCCAAAACAAAACAACCTGCCAACAACTCAAACAGGAAAAACTTCAACACCTTAATATCTTACTGAAAATTATTTTGGTTCATTGATTCTTGAAACAGCTTGTGTTTTAATTTGAAGGGTGTAAATGTGTTGTCTTTAATTAAGTACCTTTTTCATTGTAAAGCTGTAGAGTGTTCTGGTATCTCACTATCTGTTTAGCTGTATGACTTTATCCTTTCTGTGTCTCCTGGGTATGTATGCTCTATGTGCTTTGAAATGTGGTGATGTACTGTTGTCTCCTCCTCATATGTATTTGAAGCTTCAAATACACCTTTTGAGAATATTTTGCCAGGGGAATAAATCTGAATTATAGCTCTTAAAATTGTGCATCATTTTTGTGCCATTGTTTCTGAGACATTTTCCAGCAAAGTTCTCAAGTATGAAGAATGTTACTATTTCTAGAACTCAAATGTAATTCCCAGTAGATAAGATGATGTACAATTTGGGTGGGTTATTCGAGTTCTACTTTTTTTCCCCTGGAAGCTGTCAACCCATTTAAAGAATAAAAAAATT